ACCGACCAGATGTTATTTCGTTACTCGACTTTCTGTTACTAAAAAACTTAAGGAAGCTTCTTCGTACATATCCAAGTAAAATAAAATATTACTAGTATTTGATAATTCATAAATTTTTAAGTTTTGTTTTTTACTTATCACTCTTGACACTCTTTTGTCTCGATGAAATAAATAAATTTACAAAGAAAAGTGTTATATTGAAAACAAGTCTTACACGTGACTTCATGATGTATTCGTATCAAGTTTTCCACAAAAAACAAAAAAAAAATGCGATTATTGTTAAGGTGAAAATATTAGTACAAGTTAGTAGTGATTGTCCATATCATTAAACCACTTTGACTTTCAAGGAAATTCGTTCTTATTTTTATAGTATGCAAAATATTACCGAATTTAAAGTCTTGTAGACCAAATAATTCGTTTGTGTTTGTCCCGTTTATTTCGAGTAAAATGTTTCATTTGTGAATTGTTAGGGTTGTCTATTTTCACTGTAAATTATTATTGTAAAAATATTATAACATGATGATATATAATAAAAAAACTTCTATCAATAAATGATTTGCCATTTTTCTACTTAAAATAATTAAATTACAAAGGGAATTCTGAACTTTGTTTGTTATTACTAGATGAATAAATTGAGATTAGCGATATGTCTTGGCATCTCAATTCGCATTATTAAAAGGTAGTATAAAGTACTAAAAGCAACAATACATAATGGAATTGGGATAACATTTATAAATGAGTTCAGATTCGCGCAATGTGCTTCATGTTGGGATCTAAAATCGCATAATTAGAAGATATTAGAGCATAGTATAACAACACGTGACAGTGTGACAGCGAAGTCCACAAAAGTCAGATGCAAATCGAATTTGAACTTCTTCTCAATTATTTTCAAATAACATTTCATTTTATTAAATATCTAAAGAATCTACTTTCTGTCTTTTTTTCCAACCATTGCTTTTTCGTTGGTGACTAAAAATATGGGAAAATTGGCTGCATAATACCAAAAAAAAAATTATATTTGTAAATCCAATCAAAAATTTTTATGTGGCTAAATCTCACTCTTTAGATTCAAGGTTTTTATTAGATTTTTAAATATAATTTTTTTGTTGGTTAGACAACAAATTAACCCGAAAAATATTACATTCAACAAAAAATTTATTATTTTGTTATGATAATTAAATGGTTGCAAAAGTTAATGTTTTTTTTTTATAAACCGTAGAAGTTCTGAATTTTTTTGTTCATAATTTTTTTGGTATTCGAAAACAGTCTTGAGATATTCCGATTTAAAAAATAATTTTCTGTCTGAAAGAAATTTGAATCCGGAACACAAAGGAATCAACTTCTTTATGTTATCGTTTTTCGTCGTAAAGAAGATTTGAATCCGGGACAAAAAAAAATGATGTTTGAGACCGGTTCCTAACTAATTGGTGGAAGCTTTTGAAAGTGCGGCTATACACTAACAGCTTTTACTGAGAAATTGATGCAGCGCAGATTTCCGCTACGTCAGAAATGTGTGGTCACCCTTCAAACCTTTGTATCAAGATATCAAAGCAACGAAATGGCGGACAGAATAGCGAAAAATGCTATTTCGTTTACAAACTATGTTCTTAAGTATGGTTTCAAAAAAAAAAACTATGTTCTTAAGTATATACCAAATAGGTTAATTAATAATGTAGAGGTCGATGATCAACTGTTGTAATTGTAATCGAATTTGAGTTAAATTATTAGTTGATGTTGAGCCAACCAAAACAAATGGCTGCAAAGGCTAAGTCGAATACTATCAAAGTATCAAATAGTGTTAGATATTAAAACAATCGTCACATTTTTTTTTAAAAGTGTTAAATATTGATTTTAGTTTGTTTTACGTTTATTTCCAACCTTTGAAACATTATACAACCAAGATAAAATAAAACAAACTAAGCATAATCGGCGTACTGCTCTTCTATTAACTTTTAAAAAGAAAATTTGTATTTTATCTAAATCTGTGAGATCTTGAAATAGACGCAATGTACGTTTGTAGAAATCTTTTTCGATGATAAAATATAAGTTAGAAGATCATCAGTCACCACGTGAGTGAATAAATAACTCAACAAGTCAGACTTTCCTCCAATAGACTATAGTCCTATCGATTTGCATGCAAAGAACATATAAGTAATAAATTATTGAATAATTTGTTCGACCTATAAAGTAACCAAGAATGTGAGATGAACCCATTCAATTAATAAATTTTTGGTCACGTAACAATGTTATCAAGAATCACTTTTCTTAAGTCTTGAATCATATTTTTACTTTTCACCCGCCTCTTTGATCTCATGTAAACAACACATCATATGTTTATCTTTCATGTTCGACCAAAAAAAAAATGTTTATCTTTCATGTACATCAACTTTTGTTTGATTACATAATTTATTGACGTTGTCAAGAATCTGGAGAGGGGATAGACCTTGATTAGAAACGTAGGACACATTGATTCCTATTTCCCAACTTAGTCAATACAATCATTTGTATTTTTGTGCACCTTCCCATGCGTCCTCGCAGGACAAAAAACACCTTCGCATGTGCACGTATTCTCGATCTAAGGTTACGTCAATTTTTTTGTTTGTTTACCATTAGGTCATATCAAATTTAACGGAATTGATCTTATAAATACGTTGAAATATCTGAGTGGAAATTATATTTAGTAACACTATCTAAGTAATTCTCAATAAAGCGTCTGAGAATTAGCTGTTTTTTTCTCTTCTACAATCTTACAAAATTAGAGATTTGGACTGATATATACTTTTTGGTAAATTTTGGAAAACTTCAGATTCAAATTATTGTTTTCAGTTATAAATAAACGAAATCATAGGAGTATTAATCACAAGAAGGGAAATGAAAAAGCAATGGACGAGAGGGTTTTGAGCTTTTTTCCATAAGAATATACTCTACAAGAAATGACAAATGACTTGGTTACGCTTAAACAAAGCAAAAAGTTAAAAAAATTTGGTTGTTTCTTTTACAACGTCATCTCCTACATCACTTTAATTCAATAGGCTATAGCTATCACTTTATTTTGAACAACTTGCTTTTTTCTTTCCTCGTGCGTTGGTGCCTTTGATTTGAGATAATGATTCTCATTTCTAGGTCCATTTTTTGTCCTCGTTTTTCGTTGTTATTTGTATTTTTCACTCATTTATTATTTGCTTTTTCTTCTCAGAGTTTTCTTACCGTTTCTTGTTTTTTATTTTATGAGTTTTCTTACCGTTTCTTGTTAATATATCATTTTGGCTAAAACCAAAATAAATAGTGTGTATATAGATATTAGTATAGTAATATGTCACTGCAAATGTCACTCATGTGAATCATGCTTTCTAGTTTACGATTCATGATTATGTTATAGTTTCACTTGTACCAGATTTATTGGTAATTAGCCTTTCCAATTGGTTGAAACATAAACCTATCTAAGTTTCAAAGAGAAAAAAAAAAAAACGTTAACATTAAACATAGCTATATGTCATCTTATCTTTTTGATAAAACAAAAAAAAATCTACATACAAAAACAAATTATAAACGAGTTTAACAATTGATTCCAAAACACATGTACACATCAACGCAAACATAGAAAACTGAAGTTGAAAACAATTAAAATCATAGGAATGTTGACTAAAATAATAAACGTAACGTTTTCTCTAAAACCCTTATCGATTCGTAACGTACGTACGTATACACACGAGTTCAAAAAATATTAATTTCCCAAGAAAACAAACTTTGTCTTTTTTCTTCGGGTTTATCGTCTTGGAGTTTCAAACCCTAAATTTAATCTCTTTTTGCCTCAAATCTCTATGAAACCACGAGCAAGACACTAGTAAACCTTAGAATTGGAACATAAGCTTGTGGTTTTAAACCGATTCTATCAGCTTTCCCTTCCCTTCGAAACTTGTGGACAGGCTAGGTTTTATGGGCTTGAAACAAACCAAAAAAAATCTGCCCATTAACAAATGGGTTTTTAAAAAATATCAACAAATTGCAAGGCAATTGTTGAACCTCTGACCTTGAGGATTTAATTTTATCTTGTTCAACCATTACACACACAACTTTTTTTTCCAAACTTGATGCCCTTAAAATTGTTAATATTATTTGTTGTCTAAAGTGGGTTTTAGGTCAGGACCGACCCTGCTTGTGGATTTGTGAATCGAAAAAAGAGAAAAAAAAACCCGCTTGATATCGATGACTCTCTTTATGTGTTGAGCGACATATACCTCTACACATCTGATTTCACAAAGTGCAAGGCAATGACGGATGTGGAACTAGTGTACGCAGAAAGATCATTGTGCAAGAACTTGCCGTCCTCCTTGAAGAGCTCGTTCTCGTCGACAATACAAGAGTGAATATCATCCTATAAAATTTAGAGATTGAGGTTTTAATATGAATTAGGAAAATCACAAAATAAAACTATCCATCTACTATACCTACCTTGAATACAAGAGTTTGAAGTATTGGACAACAACCGACCAAAATGGGAAGCGATGGCCAAAACCTCATTGTGTCAATCCCCATTATCATGTGCAACAAGTTCTGAAAACACTGGTTTGACTATGCAGAAGAAAGAAATGACCTAAAAAAATGAAAAGAATTGAGTTTTTTATTTGAAACAATAACAACAGATTATAGCTTCAAAGACGACGTTCCCTACCATAAGGCTGCTGGAGGATAGAGTAAGGGTCTTGACACGCGATACAACTTCAAACATGAGTGATGCACCCCTTACAATGCCATCATTTGTAACCAACATTAGATCCAACCTAGCCTCAACAAGGGAGGGGAAGTTGAGGACTCCATAATTCTGTGAAACATGGTCACTATAGTCAAGAAACAAATGAGCTGGAGTATCAAAAGACCCAAAACTTGGCACAACATTTCGGTCAATGCAACAATTGTTGCTCTCTTTAGAGAAACACTCGAGACAACATAAGACTCCCAATTGTCCCACTCTAGACCATGCATAGAGAGCTCCGTCAGAATTGGAGAGCTCACAAGGAGCCTCGTCAATCTTGACTACCCTGTATATTCACCCGGTCGAACCTAATAGTCTTGAGCTTCGAATAAGAAGCGTTTTCTAGCAGATTAAGGCCAACACTCATAGTCACAAGCGAAGACAGCTGTAAAGGTATGACCAACACTTCGCCAAGCTTTCCATGGACGAAGAAAGAGAAGTCCACAAGGCCACCACGTTTGGCTGGCTCAAGATATCTACTCACTGAGTCAAAGCCCATCAACAAATTCATCGCAAGTAATAGAGAACTTGTGCAATGACAATTGTGGTGTCATTAGATTGTCGACGAACATGAGGAACATGTTCTGATTCGCCGCTTGTACATCTTCTTCGATAAAATCAATTTACATAAGACATTTATTGATTAATTGAAGAATAAAACATGAGTTTGTGATGGCACAAAGTTTGTACAAAATACACAAGTCACGCCAACACAAATGTTGAGATATTGCATTTAGCCTCAACATCAAATCCTATTGTGGTATTTCTTGATTACAAAAACTAACAACGGTGAGAAAGTAGTCTACTCTGTTTTATTCGTGATTTGTTCTCTTCGTTTGTATTTCCCTTCTTAGGAGATCAATCGAATTCGGGAATAACTTGATGTAGTTTGGGGTTATTGTTTTGATTTTTGAGAATTGCCGTGAATAGATTGTTATTAGGGTTTTCGAGACTAAGGCCAAAAGGGGTCATAGCAATGATTTTAGTTCCTATGCGTTTAATTACTCGTATGGATTATGTTATCCATTATAGATATGTTTCCTTTAATAAGTTTGTTAAGCAACCGTGTGTCATGTTGCAATGCTAGTGAAAGACCATGGATGAATTTTATTAAGTTTATGGAGATAATGTATTTGTGAACTTTTCCAAGATTTCTATGAGGATCTTTCTAAACAGCTGAACAAATATGGCGAGGTTGTGAATCTAAACATATGCGACAATCTTGCTGACCACCTGGTTAGTTGGTTAATTTTTCTTGATGCCAAGCTAAACATTTCCTTCATTGTCTTTTTCCTTGGTTGTTTAATACAAGAACAATATTCCATTTTCATTGTTTCTCTTTCTGTTTTGACCAAAGGAAAAAAATATAAATCTAATCAACTCTTAATTTCTAGTTATTGGCAAAACATAAAAAGACTAGATCCTTTAGTCTATTTGAGAATGTCGAACAATTATCATCTCTAATCATGATCCCAACTATTTGGTTGGTTATCGTCTAATTATGTATTCATTCCGTTCCATG